TGCTCTAGTTGAAACATTCACTCCATGTTGCCAGTGGAATCAAATTGGTCAGTTTGTTTATTTCATATTATTTTCAGTGCTCTTTTTACCCGTACTGATTGATGAAGTGGGAGAAGTGGGAGCCGGTTTTGTAAAATTTTTCCCCACATCTGCTAATGAAAAAATTTCATTTAGAATTAAGAGAAAAATTAATATCAGTGTAAGGCGAAATTTAGTCAAAGCTTCGCAAAGGGCATCAAAATCGGGTCATTGTTGAACCACTTTTATCAATGAATGATTGTTCTCGCGCTTTTCTAGCTGAAATTTTGGCTGACATACAGCAATTTGGCGCTTGTTTTTTTACTAGAGAAATCATTTGAAAAGTTCCGTAATTCTTTAAAACTCAAGACTGCTTTTTCTTAGCCAAACTGCGTTCGACGTTGAGGCCAAGAGATGCACCTGACTTTTGTAGCGAATAGATGCAAGGCGGGGGAAGTCAGAATTTATTTTTTAATGTGAAATTTGTAGAAGACACACAAACAACAGTTAAAAGACTTTCAGATAGCGACCAAGAATTTTGCGAACGGGTGGCGAAAAAGGTTGAGACGCTGTGCAAAATAACAGCTGCAATCCACAATTCTGCTTCCGGTAGACTGCTGAAAATGAAAATGATGAATGCTGGGCTGATCTCGGGGGCATGCCAGTATTTAGCGGTAAATCATCCGCCTCTGTTCCAAGTGTCTGTGACGGGCCCAGAATGGAAGCATTTTTTGACGAAACCTTCGCTGAAATATGTTTTACGACTAATGGCAGGCATGGCGCGGGATCATCAGCCGTCGCAGGTGAGGCCTATGTACTGTTCTTTTGGTGCACTACAGTCAGTCGTGATCATCACAGTGAAAGAATAAATAGCGCCCTCCTACCAGGATATCCGGTGCGATCGCGGATTTTGCGCAGTTTCGTTCAGCGGACGTTTGCCTGTTGAGAATTTCTATTCTTTTGCCATCTGGCATTTAATTGTTTTACCATTAAAAATAGACGTTGGTATGCGATTCCTAAGCTGCAAAATTTCGCGTACCAGCTCATGAAACAAGCATACGTGGGAACTAAATTTGAAAACTTTGAGTAACACATGTATATGGAACATCCTTCCAAAATTTCGACTTCCTAATTTTCTGGCTTCTGAGTTTGCGACTACTGCGCCAAAATTTTCAAAAACCCGTACGTGAGAACTGGATGTATGTGGGAACTAAATTTGAACTTTTGAGATCTTGCACGGACGGAAAACATTCTCCTGAAATCTCAGCTTCTGGCTCTTCTGGTTCTGAAGATAGCAGGATTTTTTCATCAAAAATTTCACAAGTGATATCCGGGCGTATGTGGGAGCTGAATTTAGAAAATGTGAATGTAGAGCATCCTTCTAAAATTTGAGCCTTCTAACCTGTCTGGTTCCCCAGTTAGTGATTTTCCCACCAAAATTTTCGCGTGTTTCTGTGTAAGACTGAATGTGCAGTATAAAACGTGAGCAGGAGATAATCTCCTGAAATTTTCTCTTTCTACCTTTTGTGTCTCTCCCAAAATACTAATTTTTTTTTCCGCTCAAAAATTCAGTTGGCCGTTGGGGGGCCTAGGCATAAATGAAAGTTGAATTTGAATTGCAGAGTCGCAAGTGGGCAGACGGTATTCCCCTAAATTTTCAGCCTCCTAGCTTAACTGGTTCTTGAGTTGAAAATGCGGGACAAAACATACGCACAACGGGGAGTGTGACAATATGTCTTGTGTGCAGCAGTTGCACAGCACGAAACTCATAAAATAAGGGTCAGTTTTATTACATATAGGGCAGTCTTTTGTTGATATCAAGAATACCAAGACTTTCGAGCTGTCAGTGCATCTCCTGTTAGAACTAGGCTGCTCCCACTCACCGAACGTAGCTGTGCTGGGCCGTTCAATCTTGAGATGCGTGATGTCGCTTGTTCGATATATGTATGTAACCTGTTACTACATTCCAGAAATTTAGTGAAACACACCAGGAAACGAATATATTATTGCTTATAATTTAATTATCGAAATTTCAGCAAGCAATTGCCGAGAATTCACTGCCGATTCTGCACCGTTTGGAACAGATCTCGTCATCTGAGCATATTGGAACTCTAGCAGAAAATGTGATGGAAGAACTGAAAAAAAATCAGAGCGTCGCCGTGCAGGTATAAAATGCAGTGTTTTAATTAATGCTTGATCCAGCCAATCCTTCTACGGTTCGTCCATTCATTTTGGTGGTAAACTAATACCGGTACTTACTAGGAAGACAGATCCATCATTAACTTTTGCTTAAGCAACTCCCATCTATCAGAACCGTCAACAATTTTGCCAGTTAGTGGTTGCTGTAGGCACATGCTATCGTTCAGGCTACTTCGGGTGTTTTCGCTTCTCACAGCGAGTGATTATAGAGGTGGCTTTGAAATTTTCGATAGAAATAAGGCAGTATTTCACCCGCTTTGGTTTTTTAAATTGATTCTTTACGCCACTGGAAAGAAAACATATTGAGTGAGGCTGTTGCGAAAGAAAGAAGTGGCTGATTTTGGCAAGTACTGAAGTTGATGGTGGCGTAAATAGTTGAAGTCCATGTGATATGCAAGTGCCTCAACTTATGACTCGTGTTCCTCCTTGTAATTTAAAAATGACTTGATTAGAAATTAATTTTTAATTCTGCGGCTTACTGTGTGGCAGCAGCGGTGAGCTGCTGCCGGTCCTCCTCCCTCCAATCGTCTGGCGGTAGTTTGCTGCTGCTTCCTCCTTGTTATGCTCATTAGGTTATGTTGGTGGTTTTTAATAAGATATTAATTGTCTCTGTGTCTGATTGGCACATTACACACACATCCGGTCAGAGGCCGTCCTACATCATTATAAGCCGTATGCGTGGGGAAGAGAACAGACCTTTTAGCATTTGGTTGCAGTAACTTTTTATCTGTCAAATTTTTTACCGAGATATCTGGGTTGAACAATATGGGAGTTATTTGTTGAGGGTTATTGCAACAAATTGCCATAGATGATATTCGGTTGCCACGGAGATCACCGTAACCAAGATTGG